GATGCGGGTTGACCAATGAAGATTGCTATCTATGGTTACACCAAGATATTTGACAGAGTTCACCCTGGATAAAAGACTACCATTAATCACTGTGGGACCTGTCGGATATGGGGAGCGAGCGAAAGTATATAAACACTCAACAAATCTACTGCGGTTTAGGGTTAGCCTCGATGAGGAAGAGAATGACTGAATTTGATAAACGGTGAAGGAGCTTAGATCAGAGTATGAAGAAATGGGTGGGCACAGCGCGACGTCATCCGTGTATTTCAAAAATCGCGCGGGAGAAACACAGGGAATATCGCAAATATAAGTGGAAAATAAGTATGGGGATAATACAGCTCCTTGAAGAACCCCGGAGTTGTTGACTAAGGGTTTAGATGAAGAATTCACCAATCTAGTGGTTTGTACTCTATCAGTAAAATAGTTGAATAGCCAAGCTAACAACTCCTTGGGGCATTCAAACGATTCCATTTTTGTAACAATCTAGATCTAGGAATGGAAACAAATGCAGAAGAGTAGTTCAGAAAAACACCGAACAGAGTTGTTTGAAGACAGTGATAAAATGAATGAGGGTGGAGACTGCGTCCAAGATGAATCTATTAGGCTTGTAAGCAAACTGTAACGAATCACTGGGAATGTTTATAGACTGCTAAAGGCGTTTGAGGATGACCTTTATCAGTCAATTTAAGAGCTGCATATGTTAATTCTATGGGGCTAAAGCGTTTGGAAAGGATAGAAGATTTAGATGCTTTGGAGATTGGTGTAATTGTGACCGGCCTTCAACAGTCGGGGATAGTAGAAGTGTTAAGAGATGCATTGACAATGAGGGTAATTGCCCCAGCTAGGGAAGCAGCACCAAATTTGGAGAGGGCTGGATGTAAGTCATCCGGGCCTGCAGTAGAAGAGGAACTACAACTATTCCAAAGTTTTAGCACATCACAATATGAGAGTGGTTCCACGTTACAAACATTTTGTGATGAGTAGGCAGGAAGAATGTCCGATGACTGGCGCAGGAATGCGGCACTGAGATTATCAGCATCCACATCCAACCCCGACCGTACGTTCTTCCCTCCACAGAGAATTCTCATAACTTGCCACAGGTGTTTGCTGTTTCCTGTCCTCAGAATTCGATCAGAGAATAATGCGTTCAATCTATTTACTTCAGCCTTGATAAGCCTGGACAAATACCTGACAACTGAAGCATTGTGAAACTTGTACGCAGGTTCCATTTGTCGTCTCAGCGACTTTAGTAGGAGAGAGTTTGTCCTTCCGTTGGACACAGAGACTTTGAACAGGACAGCAGTAATTAAAAATGGCATTGATTGTTGGGGTGAATAGCGGGACACATGTGAATAGAGAAGAAAGAGATGATGAAAACCATAAAGAGGCCTGTCTGTGAGATTCATTCAGGAGAGAAACACTTATAGGTGAAAAGTTGCGAAAAGGAAATCTGATGTGTTCTGATCGGGAGAAAGATTTGTATGCGAAATGTGAATAAAGTTTAGATCGAACTAAGAGTAAGCAATGGTCACTGGAGGAAATATGTGCTTTTAGTGCTAATGAAAAAGGGTTGGGTGGTCGGTAATTAATCTGTCCAGTAGAAAATTACCTCTGGTAGGAGAGTGACAAAAATCTGTCATACCCAATGATAAAAATGGATAAGTATTAGTATGGTTAAAGTCGCCAACGATTATGTGCAGGTTAACATATCAAAGTGGATCAATAAAAGGTATGAACGAGTCGAAAAATGACATACGATCGGATTGTTTAGAGTAAGGAGCTATATACAAGTTAGTCCAAATTGTGTGTATAGAACAGGAAAATCTAGGATGACCCTGTATATAGTTTGGCACTCAAGACCTTCTGAGCAGTACTGAAAAATAACAAGGGACTTGCCACACTAGGAAACGTTGACATATGTGGCAACACCCCCTCCGATCTTTTTTCCTCCGGTTCCACGACCCTGTCGGTAAACTTGAAAACCGTCTATTGACACTAGAGATTCATCTACATCTTTATTCAACCAGGATTCTTGAACTCAGACTGCACACGTGTTTCCTATGAATTCTTGATCGGAGGACATTAGTTGAATCCGACATTTTGGGGAACAGGGACCGAGTGTTAGTACTCACCAATAAGGGGACAGTTATCCTGGACAGCGGGGCGCAATTAAGGGCAACTTGCTTGCGTTTTTTGGTCCACCCTGGACAGTGAGAAACTGGAGTGGCAAAAACCGCTGAACCATCAAAGTATGTCGTGGCATGTTTGAAGCAAATAATATCATCCCATAAGTAACGATGACGCATGATAGTGAGTGAAAATGTAAAAATTTCCACAGGACGGAGAGCGTGCAAGTGTAGCGGAGCCAATCAAAGGGCGCGCGCGGTACTGTCAAAATGAGCCTTCAAAGGCTGTCAAAGCGTTCAACTCAACGAAATGGTTTCAGTATTTTGAATGGTAACTTGACCGGATTGCCAGGAAAAGTGAGATACTTCAGCAGAGATTATATTTCCTTTCCGCTAACCATGGAAAATATTGCAGACTGCTCCTGTTTTCCGTTTTGCCGCAGGCTACACCAGAGCTCGAGACGTTAGACCTATTCGTCAATCTTGGGCAGATATGAATGAATATTCAAGGATTAGATAGTGCGAAACTCCATGCCGTGAAGCCATTTGTAGTATTCGGATTAGGACTCGGAGTCGACTCCGAGTCTTAATCCGAATAGTGCGAACTCAAACTGAAAAACTACTGGATGTAGTTAATTGTTCGGAAAATCAAACAAAAAACGTGAGAAGCGTCAAACCATTATTGGTAGATTCTTCAGTGTCCAATCGACAACGATATGGCTCGTTTGGTTGCCTTTTTGCATTCAACCAATCCGACTGATGCTACTAGAGGTCACAGAGGTCGGAAAAACCGTAACCTGACTGGCTACACGGAAGCTGTACCGTAGTGCATGCGTACTCCTTACCCGATCACCACATGAACCCCGAATATTTCCGATCTGAATGCAACTTCATCCATAAGGACTCTAAACCCTGCCCATCAAGCTCTAGCCTTCATCCACATTCGTTTACCCAAGACCTGTGGTCCTTTAGACTCGACGCCCAATCTCTAATTAGACCGCTGCAGGCGAGTCAGATAAAACGTACCGGAATATTCTGAAGTCAACATTCTCATGTCTTAATGACATTTCTAGAAAATAAAATGTTTCAACATTCGTTGACCTCAGAGTATATTCCGTTTACCATTTCACCTGATTTGTCTACAACAGTATAACTAAAGTCTGTGCTTCGAAGCTAAAGGAGTACCGGTCGTGGCTAAAGCACTACGAGTTTTGGCTAAAGCTTGATGAGAAAAGGTGTAGAGTTTCTGCCGGGAAATTAATCCGTCATTTCGAACTGCGTGAGGATAAGTTGACTTTTCCATGTCTTTAATGGCAGTAGCCCGTTAGTTTGATTTGTTGCAAGATCATCTCATCATTAAATCCAGTTATTGAGACAGCCGGGAACCGGGAAAATCGACTGAATACCTGGGATATTGAAATCTGATTTGGCTGTAGTAACTCAGGTCTCTAGCAGGCATCACAGGTGATATTTCCGAATAAGGCTAGGGACATTTCTTCTTGTCAATCCTGCATTTAGTCGGTGAAGGATATAGTCGAACCGCTGAAGACAGTCCCGTTGGAAAATGACTCTTTCTATCCCTATCCCTAAAGTGTAAAATAGATGCCATTTTCGACGAAGTTTGATTTTGAGCCGCAAATGTGAAACTTCTCAGTAGTCGTACATTGGATTCATTAAACTCTACGAATCTTTAAATTACGCCTGTTGAATTACTGCATGCTGTTGTGGCGCTACACACATGTTTGCTTTCAAACTTCGTTGTTTCTTGAATTTTGGAACACCATGCTTTTCATTTTAGTGTTCACGAAGTCCACAAGTTTCTCGGTCAAGATCACAGTTTAGTGGAAGGCTAGTCAAGGGCGAGAGGGACGTTTCCTCGATGCAGTTGATACTCCTGCACAACATCAGACTTATATGGCCTGGTGCTGTCGTCCCCACAAGATACATGTTAGACTGCTGAGGGAGCTGATGGTTGTTCGGAATCGCGCAATAATTAACCAGTAACGTCCAGTAAGTAGAAACCGGTCCATTTTGTTGTATCCTCAACCATTTCCGGATTTCGACCAATCTTAAAATGCTGAACCCATTGTCTCACAGTTTTCACAACAGTGTACTATCATACCGACACATTAGCTCCTTATTTCCCTGGCGTATAAAACAAAAAAACACGCTTGTATGATATAGTGTATCTGAGTGAATTACGTGCGCGTATAGGCTGGCACAGGATTTAAAGGGAGCGGCGGGGGGTCTCATAGAAGTGAAGAGAGAAACAAATGATACATGAACATCCCGCTCTGAGAAAACCATTGAGTACTGATGCGGCAAATCGAGCATGCTGGACAAAACAAGAACTATTAACTGGTTGCGGCTTGCATTCCAATCCCACTCAGGATGTGGAGAGCGGCTCAGTGAGCAGTAATTTCAGCCAGTCCCCCAGGGGTTTAAAATAGAAAACAAACAAAACACAAGTAAAACAGTGAAAAAGTAAGGGAGCGCTTGAAGCACAACACGAAAATAACGACGACAACACACACACACACTGAGTAAGGAGCAAGGGAAAGATATGACATAACACAACCAGGGGTACGGGGTCGGAGGGTATGAGATTTGGTTGGGATCAGTGGGATAAAGATGCGGAGACAAGTGTGTCCGATATGGTATCAACTAGACGAATAAAGGCGAAGTTACGAACAGAGAGAGGATTCATATACAGCTTGTTGGCACTATGCGAATTACATGTGTGAAAGGGCTGTGGGAGAGCATTTAGGCGGGTGAATAGTTGGTAGAAATGGGGGTGGAGCTAGATAGATTGAGCGACATGAACACTGCCCAACTCGGAAAACGGAACGGAAAGGCGTCGAGGTTGTGTTTGCGCTAATGGAATTCGACGGACTCAGACCAGGGAATGGAGATCCGAGAAAATTGCTCCGTGTACCATGCCAAACCGATGGACAAAAAGGCAAATAGAAGAGCACTAACGAACAGAATCCATCGGGAACGCTGCCAGAAAACAGAAAAGGTGAAAAAACGGGTTTCTGTTTTAACGAGATGAACAGAAAGATTTTTCAATCACGGCGTAGGAATGGTTTGTTTGCAGACACCGACGTTAAAGAGTCTAAAAACGAACGGGAATCTATTTATTTGGGTTCGATGCAATGTTACTGTCTACATGGTCCACAAAAGTGAGCACGATTGTGATCCTCAGTCAAAATAAGAATGTTTTCTGGGAGTTGATAATCAGTCAAGAAATGTTTTTCGTTCCATCTTTAGTTCGGATAAGGTAATTTCTTAGGCAGCTATTATTAGTACAGATAAATCGAGTGAAATTGTATAGGAACAACACAACTCATTGCCAAAATGAGTGTAACATAAACTGTCCTGAAAAGAAGCTCGTTTCAGTTTTATATCTGTTTCCATTACCGAAAGACAAGTTCAGGTATGAGAAAGTCCAACCCTGAATGAGTTCCACCAACTACCTTTCTCGGCGATCACACTTGGGGGGGGGTCTACTTCAGTGACATAAGTAATATGCTCCAGCAGCCACAATCTGTGGCAATTAGTCACTTGCGTTAATGAGCAATCTTAACTATATAATACTGTTTGACTAACCCTGCACGTGGTTTTTCTGTTGTTGTCTCCCATTCCCCGCTACAATCGTGCAATGCAAGTTAGACAGCGATGTTCGAACACCGATAAGCGCTTTTATCCTACGTCCGTACTTCTAGGTGTCCGCATCTTACAGAAGAACGATTCGGAAGGCACAAGCGTACACTCAACATTTCATGGATGACCGAATGTTGTGATGCCAGAGGTATCTCAAGTTAACTAACACCACTCGCGCCTTCTGCATGCGTGCGGACACTTCATCGCGATGCTGCCCAGGTAGTAATATCGATCAGCTTTCTAGAATGCTTATCATGAATTAGAGTTGGACACACCTAAAAAATCCTAAATTCAAGGTCTCGTGATGTAAAGGAAAACAAACCGAAAAAGACCTGACGCGACGTAAATCTTTGATCAACACATCCACAACACGGCTGAAAGCTAAATGTTCGTCTCTCTTGAACAAGTCAGACGTCGAAGTATGGCGGAGGCACACACTTTGGTGAAGACTGGGATCGAACTGATCCTGCGGTGGTTTGTGCAGTCACTGCGAGATCTTTCTTCAAAACGAGAATGATAAGTGATTCGCCCTAAGATAACGAAATGCGCTCTTGCTACCAGATGTTGCTGAAGTAATTTTTTTCATTACACACTTCAGTATGCTAAACAGCAGACAGGATAAACCCCATAGTCTCGAGGACCTGTTATTAATTAGTGGAAACCGGTAACCTAAGCCCCTGGACTTGGAGTAGCGAACCACATAAGGCCCCGATAGGTTAGGCGTAGTGTTAATTCAGACGACAGCAAACCAGGCTACCACCAAAGTTGAGTGGCGGCGTGGGAGCTCGGACCATAGGGTCCAAAGCACACCGGTGACAGTAATGGAGCTTATGGGGTCATCATCCTCCATCTTGCACAGAGTGGGAGGATGTTTGTCCAGCCATGTTGCTTTTCCTTATTTCAGAGTTTGAATGCAATGTCGGACTTCTGCTTCTGTTGGAGGTCTGCATGACACCACCCACAGTACAACATACAAGAAAATCTGGTTAG